TTAATCATGGACTTTTTAAGACCATCCTAAGTTTAGCTCTGGAATATCTTTCCAATATTTTCAAAATGTCGTCGCCCCTCTGACATGATTCTAGCTTGTGGGCTACCCGTGTTGCATACGTGGAAAAATGAAGGCACACCAGCCACTCAGCTGAACTCATACAACGACGCTCATCAAATTGAACCGTGAGCATAGCGTTCTTCTGGCTCATAGGGCATCTCCTCATCAAGTGGAGCTCTCGCTATAAGATCATACGGTCACATAACTCACATAATGTAAAATTTCATGAAATCTCATAAAATGAAACCACGCGACAACCTTTCATGAAATTACCTGAAAATGTTTAGACAAAATTCGAGAAATTACGAACTGGAAGTTTTTTTGTACATTTAAAACTGAACAAAGTTCTAGTCTTTACATATTTTATTTTGACTCAAATCAGAGAGAATGTGATATTGTTTCCATCAAGATAAAATTATTGTAAAACAATTACGATTTACAGCACGGAATGGAACAAAACGAAAGTGATAAATAGTAAAACTCAATTTTGAAACTTCAGAGGGAGGGAAAATTACAATGAATCGAACTTTTGAGTTCCTGCTCAAAACTATCGTTGATCGTTGGTTTGAAGGTTGTATTTTTAGCCTCTGAAAATTTTATTAAATTCTATGAAACTTTCCCTCCTTAAAGAAGTTTTACCCCGTGAAAATTCCTTTGTGCATCTCTGTTAGAGCGTATAAGTCAAACTGATGAGGTGGTGAGTCGTAAAAAATGAAGATCATACTTCCTTAAACTAGTTTGTTTAAAAAACGCCTTCAAAAGGAACGAACGCAGTATGTTGTACATCATGCGATGTCTCGGTGCGGTGCGGCATCAGCGCAGCGGTGGCCGGTGGCTCGCGAGAAGATTTTACCGATTATTCGTATTGACTTTGAAAAAATCGATCAAAGAATTATCTATTAACAAGAGAGTTTAGAAGTCATATTTATAAAGAAAAAAATATGTAGGACAAAAATATGCTCGATATAGCAGCCAATATACATGCTTGCGATCATTATTTTTCACGACGTTGAAAATGCATCATTTTCTTATAGGAATTAATTCACCGAATATAAAGTGCAACTTGGCAAATTGGTATGGATTCATTTTAGGCATTTGCACCGCAAATTGGCTTTGGGCATCCGTTCGGGCCAATTTTCTCGGCAACGATGCATCATCTGTCACTGTCGACCGGCGGTAGGCGGGTAAAGGCGTTAAGGAAGGTTACGTTATGAGCCTAATTGAGCCTTGCGCTCGATTCCAATTGTGGCTTAAATCCGACTAACTTAATCTTCCCTGGATTTTCGACACCTACTTGATTAGCTCAATTGCCGACATCAGAGTGTTCTCGCCTTTTTACCCCGGGGGGGGGGGGGGGGGGCGCAGCGGAGCGGAGAAAGGCCCAGTGGTTCTGGTTTGAGATGGAGTGACGCATGGCGCGTAGCAATAGGCCTTACATACAAAATAATATTGGACAAGCATTCAAAAAAAGTTTTTTTGAAATTTTTGAGCAAAATTTTAAACTTTAGATGGGGGATACTTTTGGACAGGCTCGGACTGGCCATACAGCCAATCTGCCATTGGCAGATACCCCCCCCCCCCTTGGCGCGCCGAAAACGCGCCCCTCTGACAGATAGCAAAATATAAGAAGAGAAAAAAAAATAACGACCGAAAATATATGCGGAAATTTTCTTAAATGAACGGAAGAAGAGAGAGTTAGGAGAATAGAAAGGTGCTTTTACGCATGATAGCGGTGAACAAGGGTCCAATAACTACTTTCTGAATTGTGAACACTTTTCTGTGAAATTTTCACCATTTTGGTGACATACATGCGCTTTATCATCCCTGTCCTTCATTCGCTATGTGTAACTCCCTCAGAAGCGATGGTCGGTTCGATTTTTAGACGTGCGCACCTTTTACAGACCTCATGAGAGACCTTTACACATATTTCTTCCTTTTCAACATGACAATTGATTTCGACATGCCATAGCATACCTTGGGCAAACTTGAACCTTAATTTATCTCTAAATTAAAAAATAAGAGACATCTAAAGTGCAAACGCAATACAACTATTCGCGCAGGATGGATGTCCACATTGCATATCGACGGTGAAACTACCAAACCACGTATCTCAGTTTGCGACGTCGCAGACTTCCTGTCATACTTTATTTTTTAAATGAAAAACTACATAACGACCAGTCTTGAAAATTTTTGTGATTTTTCCTCTTTGTGCGGAGAAAATTCTGTGAAAATTTGAAGGAATGATATTGATTTGGTCTACTTCAAAAGAATAAAATGTGAGCGTAGATTTTTAAACACCGCAAACGAGATACGTGGTTTGGTAGTTTCACCGTCGATATGAAAAATATAAGACGCAATGGCGCGAGTCGTGAACTCGCAATGTTCTGCTTTATGCTACTAGTTTGAAGCACCATTACGAATAAGACAAACGGAAACAAACACAATATGGAAATAAAGCTAGGGAAAGGATGCGCGTTCACGACGGCGCAGAGATACAACTATTCGTACTTGATGGACGTCTGTGCTGCATCTGAAAAATTGAAGGCGCGATGACGCGAAGCGTGAGCTGTCAATGCTCTGCTATATGCTGTCAATGAGGTGTCGCTCAGATTCGAGAGAAAAGTTAAAAAAGAGGCCCGAATAGTCTTTCCTGTCTTCGGCTGTGTTGACACTCGTTCTTTCTTCTTTTTCCAGGTTCTTGTCTGATTCTTTTTTAAGAAGGCTTTAATTGCAGACCTACGACTTAAGCTCGTGTAAATCGCAGCACTGGCTCGGTTCTCTTGGAAATAATGGTGCTTGGATGCGCCTAGTGTCTTTAATTCTTTGTTTTCTTTAATTTCAGAAGTCTGTCGGCTACGTCAATACGTTCAATTTTGCAATTTTTACTCTGTACGAACTTGTGCTGCTTTGCCAAAATTTTCTAAACCCCCCTCCACGTATGGAATGCCCTACCAGAAAATATCACATCACGCCCGTTTAACCAGCCAAGGGTCTACGCCCTTAGCTGCAAGCCAGTCCGACCCTGCTTTCGAACCAAGTAGTTTTCGCGATATTTGTAAGAATAAATTGCCTTTAATATTTTTAACTAAGTATTTCGAAAATTTAAACAAAAATGTTTGATAATACTTTATTTGAATCAGATAAGGTCTATGTAGTACACGCTCCAGGAGGAAACAAGTATGTGTTGTGAACACGTATTGAAAACATTTATAAAATGTTGTGTATGTAAATGCAAGGGGAAGTTGTGAGCAAGAGGCAAATCCAGTCTCCGTTAAAGGCGTGAATTTAGATTTTATTTTATGATCACCCGTGTTTTTCACTCAGTTTCCCCACCAGTGCCCCTCAAAATGTTCTCTCTCTCTATGCTTTGCCCTTCATTTTCTGGCAGGCGAGGAGCGATGAGAAGCGCTGTGGTCGTCTTCTAAATTCGCCAATGACGGTAACACCAGCATTACCGAGTAGGCACTTCTATACTGCCATTTCAAGGGAAAACATCGTATGAACATGCAGACATCGCCAAACTTCTGTCGATGAAAAACCAGATTTTTTAAATGATTCATATATATTTTCCTTCAAGTTCCCACGGTGCTCAGATTAAGATAATGTGTTCGAGAATTTCAAGAACAAATATTAATAACTCCTTTCCAAGATAAATTCTTTCGGATGACAAGTTCATGCCTACACTTACAGCGCTCGCTTTACAACGATGGGAGAGGCCCAGGAAACCGTTTTCTCTGACGTCAAAAGTGAAAGTCAAAATAATGAGGTCTGCTCGCTTTGATGAGATGCATTTCATCGATAAGGTCGGAGTTCTTGATCCAATTTAAAAAAAAGTGACGATGCATTTTGTTTTTGTTAAAGGAGGGGTATCGATCAGAGCCGTTTTTAGACCTACTCACTGAATTTCTTCAATTCTACGATTATTTGTTCCTCGAGGGTCTAAATTCTACGGAATGCATCATGATTTGGTCACTTCTAGTTTCATTTCAGGCCGAATATAGACCAGAAAAGGGCTCAAATTGAAGGCTGATCGATGAAAAATGCGGATTTTTCGGCATTCGACCACAAGCCTTCAAAATTTCCATTTTTCGGCATCATCGCCTTCAGACCCATGTTCAGGCTATCAGTTCTGAAAAGAGACCAAAAATGACCCAATCGCGACGCATTCCGTAAAAAAACAGACCTTAATGAACAAAGAATCGTAGAGAGGAGAAAATTCAGGATGGGCCAAAAAACCGGCCCTCACCGATACCCCTCATTTATAAAACGTTTAAAATCATGTGTATACAATATGAAATATTGTTATCTTTTATAAAAGAGAAATAAAAACATTCATGCGTTTATCACAATTTTTCAAATGAAATAATGAAAATTCGCACCATGTGCATCGTGAAAGCAGTGGAAGTGCGGGGTCGATCGGTGCGGCGTAAAAAGTTCAAACGACGGCAACTTTCAGCACAGCTTTACTTTTACAGCTCTAGTTTTTCGAAAAATAAAAATATGGATGTAGCTGCAAAATATCCTATACTTCTACAAGCTGACAGATGCCAGACGCCAGAGGCGCAGAGTTTTAGACTAAAAGAAGAGATGAAAAGTGAAAAGTTAATAAATAAATTAAAAAAAAAAAAAACTCTCCTTTAACCTCCGGTTTCATTTTTAATTTAATGAGCTTCAAGAAAAATATTAATTAAGAGAGAAATAAGTATTAAAAAACAACAATTCGCCTTACTCAATGATAGTCACAAGTTGAGTGACTGTGCGCCACGCTGCTGCTGGCCTTGCGCCCGCCTCCTGAGACTTGACCGAAAGTTTAAACAGCGCGCCAATTTTTTTCACCAAAGTGACGTAATCTATAACGCTTGACGCGCAAGATGGCCGCCAAAAGAACCCAGCCCTGTCCCTCCGTTCACTTCCGTTGGTAAACGGCAATTTGAGGTTATGTTATGTTATGCGAATGCCCAATGCCAAGTTTTACAAATCGTGAATTTTGCGAAGTTCTTATCATCATTTCTCACTGATCGCTAAAGTTATTACCATTTTAAGTTCTGTGTGATGTGCGTATCATTGTGATGGCCACATCAAAAACCTCAAACACCTACAATCGGCAGAATTGGGAAGACGCTGTAAGTTTTCCGCTTCCTCGTGCTGACGGTGCTAACGCACCTACTCACTCAGCCTTTTTTGATTATCCATGAAATATTTGGGGAGTACTTTTGAGAAACTCCAGATTAATGGTTTTTTGAAGAATTTACTTACCATTTTAGTGATGTATTTTCAAAGAATCTAAAGTAACAGTTAATTACGTTCAAAGTTTACGCTTTGTTACGTGTACTTACGTTACGTTTACTTCGTTCAATTACAATCGTTTCTGGATTGAGAAATAAATGTAAATAAATGTATAAACGCCAAATAAATGTATGCACTTTTAGACTGCGGCAGAAGATCTGCCATCTTAATTTTTGCATTCACTTTACTTGTAAAAATAATGTCTGAAGATCTTCTGTCGCAGTCTAGAAAGGCGTAAACTTATTTGGCGTGGACTCTCACATTGGCCGATAGGTATTCCTACCCGATGAATCCTACAAAAGCTTTGCCACTGGTTAAAATGATTCTCACTTACTTAAAGGAGACAGATATTGGTTTTTGGAACAAACCATATTGACATTCTAGCTTCGTCATTATGCTAGGCAAGGCACTAGATCTGACCGTGTAAAAACATACTTATTCCTGCCACCAACGCATTTTCGAGAAATTTATTCTTTCATCTTTGAATTGAAGTTGATTAAAACTAATGGTTATTTAGGGAAATTTTCTTAATTGCAATAGACTCCTGTAATCTGTATATCGACGGTGTCAGTCGGCAATCACATAACTCGGTTTGCGACGTCGCAGACTTTCTGTCACACTTTATTTTTTGAACGGGAAACTACTCAACGGCAATTCTTTAAAACTGCCGTGATTTTTCTTCTCTGTGCTAAGATAATTCTGCGTAAATTTCAAAGAATGATGTCAAGTTGTTCTCTTTTAAAAAAATAATATAGAGGCGGAGATTTTCAGACACCGCAAACGAGTTGTGTGATTGCTGACTTCCACTGTCGATATGTTTTCCGTGTAAGGATGCCAAGGTTTTTTGTCAAAGCTATCCCTTTGAAATTTGAAACCTAACCACTAACCAGTCCTGGTACCAGCATAATTAGTTTGATCCAACTTCTTTGTTCACTTCCAGTAAGGAATTTATTAAACTGTTCTTAAAATAAACTGAAAACTAATCTTATTACTAGAAAATTAGTCATTATTCTTCAAATTACAGTCAGCCGACTACAGCCTGAAATTTTTATTGTGATTATCATTGTTGCCATGTAATCAAAGAAAAATCTAAAGCTTTTCTCCCTTGAAATTTCCAATTACCTAACGTCAGAACTTTTCCCACTGTTTCTGAATTTTACGTCTTATATTTTTAAGAATGTAGGTAGTGTACGATTTGTAGATATTGATGTAGAAATTGAAGTTTCGTGTGAAGGAAGGATCAAGGTCAGGCATTTGAATATACTTTAAACTATCTGAAGTTCTTAATCCATCATAAATCCACTGTCTGTTCATCTTTATAGACTACTTCATAAACCTCTCTCTTTGTTACAGGAGTTCCCAATTCTGTGTCAAACATGTCTAGGAGACAATCCGTACATTCGAATGGTGAGTATTGAGTTTTTTAAAAATCATTTTTTATTATATAATATCACTCCATTGTCAATAGAACCCTTTCAAGCAATATCATTTTGCAGAATATAAGGGCCTCGGAATCTACCAATAGGTACTTGCATATAGACCTGGCTGACTTTTTAAAAAGTCCGAATTTTAAATAGTTTCCTCCAACTGATTGGCAAATCCATTCATATCATTCGTGCAATTCCAGATTGCATTTAATAGTATTTGTATACTCAGGCAGTCATAAATAAGAGATAAGTTAGTTTTAAAGTATACGCAAGAAATCACCCGTAGTTTTAATCTTTGATTAGTCCTGTGATGAAATATCTTTTTTGAGGCTTTTTGCTAGCTGTCTACATCAAAATTGGTTTGCTAATATTCAATGTAGTTCTATAAATTGAACAAGTTTAACAGAAATTCACCAAGTTGCAAAATAGAAAAAAATGTGTTGGAAGTAATTTTGAATTCATTCAATTGTAAATTTTCATTGGTCAAAAAATCAAATACGAAAAATAATATTTTAGACGTTAAGAGCAGTCGTTAAACTTTATCCTCAGTATTGAGTCTTATGGAAGAATAAAACTTCAAACCTTTTTTCCATTCAAAGTAGATGCAAGTTGGTGCGTTTCTGTGAAACGAACTTTATTCAATTTACTTTTTCGCTTATGCATTAGTAACATTAGTGACAACGTGTACATTAACATTATAATCAACTGTAACATTAGTATAACTACAATAACATTAATTGATGTAACATGAAATTTTACTAGTTATGTTTTTTTCTCTAGACCAAAGAAAAGTACGGGAAGGAGTGTAAAATTTGTGCTCGACCCTTCACGGTGTTCCGTTGGTGTCCTGGGGCTCGGATGAGGTTCAAGAAGACAGAAGTTTGCCAGACTTGCAGCAGGCTAAAGAATGTCTGTCAAACTTGCCTTCTAGATTTGGAGTATGGTCTGCCAATTCAAGTAAGAGACACTGCACTCCAGATCAAGGATGACATCCCTAGATCAGACGTTAATAAGGAATATTACGTTCAAAATTTGAATTCGGAGGTAAGTCGTCATCTATTGAGCTTAAAATGTTCAGCAATTAGTTTCGTTTGTTGCAAAGAAAATGAAAAGAAAACACTTTACATCGTTTTTAGCATCTTGTTCTTTTTTTAAGATAATCTTTCTGATACTTGTTACGTTGCTAGGTATTTCACAATTTTCATGAGGTTCTTTGAGCAGTATAGAGTACTTAAAAAATGAAAAGACATACATTGTCTCTTAAATCAGGGTCGCCACAGTCAGGGCAAATCAGGATATGTCAGAGAATTTCTAAAAGTCAGGGAAATTGACGCAAGTGTAGGTAAGGGAAAAATTATTAGACTGCCAAATTATTTGTCTTCTATATTAGGTTTGATTTTCCAACAACAAATTTTTAGTGAATACGGTTTCAAATTATGTCCCTTTAACAATCTTGTTTTCACTTTAATGTCTAAGAATTTTACCAAAATTTGTCAGAGAAATAGGGGAATTTAATTTTTTGAATTCAGCAGCAACCCTGTTAGATTCTATTTACTTAACAAAGCTGATTGCAACACATTTTAAATAACTTTTATAACTAAAGAAGTCTCAGCTTTCCCTGAATCAAGACTCGTGACCCAGGATTTCATGCATGCTTGAAAACTAGAATGATCATAACTTAAATTTTGCTAAGTGCAAGGGTGATAATCTATATAATTTTGCCCAATCTGCGTTTCAAAAATGCAATACAGATTATAAGAAATGATTTAACTGGTTTAGCCCAGAAATAGATTGGAGTGAAACAAAAGAGGACATTGAGTCCAATTTAATCTGCAGAATGGCTTATCAAGAAAAAATAACATCCTCTAAATTGTGGATGTTTAAAAAATGCATCCTCTGTATGAGCCTGAGTTTTTCCAGACAACTGATGGAAGCAAACTCTAGCCTACATGGCTCGAGGTGATGAAACATTCTTTAGTTGAGAAAAGGATTTGAGAGGGTAGTGCCAAAATATTGAGAATTAATGGATGCCTGGTCATGTTTGCCTACCGTTTTGATACCTACTTTCCATATTTTACGAAATTTTAATGCATGCTTCCTAAAAATGTTCTTTTGTTGCCGCTGGTGAAACTCAAAATGGTTACTGTTCATTCTTTTTCTTGATAAAATATACTCAAATAATCCAGCGAAAGGTGTCCTCAAATTAGTCGACTGACTATGTCAAATTTTGCTTTCATACAGTATATTTAAATGCAAGTACACAAAAAATTAATTTTCCAAATTTTTGCAGGATTCTTAGAAAAATAATTAGATTTTCAAACACATACATTGAAGGAAATACTCAGGGATTTAACATTTGAAATTAACAATTTTTTTGAAAAGAAGAAAAAGCTCTAAGTCTTAAGCAAGACTTATGATCCCTGCTTTGATTATTATGCTCCTGTGTATTTTTTGGCTCTAATTTGTCTCAAATCAATCAATTTACCCCTATTTTTTTCTCAATAGATGAGCAAAGCTGACCCAACTGCACCAATTGGATCTGTTGGAAAAGCACAAGCAGCCAGTGACTTACTCTTGAAGTTAGCTAGGACAACACCCTATTACAAACGGAACAGACCTCATATTTGTTCATTCTGGGTGAAAGGAGAATGTCGCCGTGGAGAAGAGTGTCCGTACAGACATGAGAAACCAACTGATCCTGACGATCCCCTTGCAGACCAGAATATCAAAGACAGGTATGTACTCTGTGAATGAGTCATCTAAATTCTTTTCATTTTTAATCAGAACAAAATCAATACATCTTTTAACTTCTTTGCAAGGTAGTTACTAACACTAGCAAATGTAAGATGTTTGGTGTCCAACATATTAATCTAAAATTTTGGTAAGCGTTTCTCAGGTTGCAAAATTTATAAAATATTGAAATGTAGTAATATTTAGTGAATATAGTAAAATTTTCTCGAAAACCAATATGTCTCGATATTTCTCACAGGCCATGAGAGACAAAGTCGAAAAAACTTCGTCCAGTGGAAGTGATTTTAAGACTAATAAGTTCTCATCAAACTTTTTGTACAAGCGCATTTAATGTTAATACATGCTTTTTATAATTAATTCTACTGATCGGTTTTCATAAATTCCATGGTACTGTTTTAATTCTGTTTTCATTTCACTTTACCAGGTATTATGGAGTCAATGATCCTGTCGCCGAAAAATTATTGCGACGAGCATCAGCAATGCCTAAACTGGATCCTCCAGAGGACAAGTCGATAACCACTTTGTTTGTGGGTAATCTCAACGAAAACATAGATGAGAAACAACTCAGGTAATTATTTCCATTCTCAACCAAACTTTAATTCATAAGGATTAGAACGTTCAATGTAGAATGTGCTGCTCTGGAATACTTTGAAAAAAGACAAGTAGGATGATTATTTCATCCCAAAAAAATGAAGGACCAGAAATAATGTTTATGAACAAAACTTGATTTTAAATCCAGCAGCAATTTTTGAAAGAAGTCATTGTAGAGCCCACAAATTACTCATAGCCATTGCCATTCAGTAGCAAGTATTTGAGGTACAGCCGAACCTGATAACTTGAAGCTGAAGGGAAGCGATGAAAAATTGAAGGTTTTGAGCTAACGGAATCTGGAATGAAAAATTATCGTTTCTGAGGCTGATTTTGTGTCTCAAGACATCGATTAATCATGGCATTATTTGTACGAGGAAAAATTGAGGGATAAAAAAATAAATCATTTGGCTTTGCTTTAAATTTTGTAAGTTCTGCTTATATTCTCGAGCAGCATCATCCAAATTGTAGAAGTAATTCATCAACTCCTTTGAGTGACTGAGGTAGCTCTGTGAAATATGGATGGATATTTCAAGTTTTAGAGGTAATTCACCAACTCTTACGAATTAAGTATTAAGTTTAAAATTAGCTTGAAATATATTTGAGTGAACAGAACAATTTTTTCCAAATTTTCAAGATTTTTTGCCATGAGCAGAAGTAGGTACATAGCTGTTTTCTTTGAGTTTTTGAGGTTTTCGGGTTATCGTGGTTTGACTCAGAGAAGCTTTGGGTCTCACTTGATCTCTGAATCTAAATCCCAGTGTTGAGGATGTAATCAAACTTTAAAATCTATCTACATTTCCTTGGAATGTGAAAATGGTATGTGATGCAATTCTATTCTCATCTCTTCATTTTTAGAGGTATTATTCTTGCTAATCACATCTAGAAATAATTGTTAACAAGTAATGATCTGTAAAACTAATCTCTCAATTTTTCTTGCAGAGATCATTTCTATCAATTTGGTGAAATTCGATCGGTGACCATGGTGCCTCGACAGCAATGTGCATTTGTTCAGTACACAACCAGAGCAGCAGCAGAACAGGCTGCCGAGCGCACGTTTGGCAAGCTAATCCTCTCAGGGCGACGGATCAACATCAAATGGGGCCGTTCGCAGGCTAAACAAGCAACAACCACCTCAAAAGAAGACGAAACTCCCAAGCTTCAGCCAGTTCCTGGTCTTCCTGCCCCCTCAGCTTCTTCAAAAGATATGTCAGAAAATTTCTTCGGTCTAAACAACCAAGATTCACCCTTGCTGCCCCCTCCGCCTCCGTTCATACCACCCCCTCCACCACCCTGTCCCGTCATGTTCCCGCCCATGCCAAGACCGCCCTCTGGGCTGCGTCCCCCTGGCCCACCTCCTCCACCCTTCTTCTACCCGCCGCAGATGCGCTTCCCTCCTATGATGGCCCCTCCTCTCTTTGCTCCTGGCACTGGTCCGCTGTTGTCTGCAGATTCGCAGATCCATTATCCGTCACAAGATCCTGCCAGGATGGGCACTGTCAACAAGAGCTAAGATTGTTTGAGCTTGTTACCTCATTCAGGCTAAAAAAAATTTTATGCCATTTTTAGAGGATGTTGAGTCAATTTGACTTCATATCAGGTGAAGATGGATTATCATTAAGAATCGCATTTAACCATTGAATTTAGATACTAGACTTAAGATTTCTGAAGTTCTGTGGTCCTACGATTTGACTACTTCTTGCAATGAGGATTTGCTATTTTTGGCTCACTTATAAAAGCGCCTATCTGCATGAAGAAACTTATGATATTTGCTGTTTCAGGAACGAGTCAGAAATAGTAGTACCCTATTGTGAAATGTGCACAAATTAGTTTGTCTCAATTTTCTGAATTGAATATTTGGTCTTAGCATTTTTTTGCAAACTGGTGTATCACAGGAAACTGATGATGGAAGACAGGGAAGTTCCGTTGATGTTAGGTATTCGTAGTGACAGCTTGTTGAGTAGAATCTTGCTTTTTATGAATCAGTTTTATTTGGCCACTTAATTGAACGCGCGAAAACCGCTAATGTCCATTTTTCCAGTCTGAAGTTTTTTTGAGTTTATAATACTTTAACAGAGTTTTGATGCCCTTTCTGTGGTTGCAACAAACTCCAAATAGTATTATGAACTCAAAAAACTCAGGACTGGAAAAATGGACTTTTGCATTTTTGCGCTTCCTGATTCAATTCTGCTCTGCAAAACCATGTTAAAGTAACAATGGAGGCAAAATTACCATTCTAGTTACTAAAGAATATTTCACTTGAAGTGATAAAATTTGTATTAGATTTCTCTTCTCTAACCTAAATGAGACAATTTTTAGTAAATTTGCAAAAACAATTAGTACAAGACCAACTGGTGTTTCATCTTAGCATTCGAGAGGTGGCAGTTTCTAAAATTTTAGAATAAACGACAAGAACAGGACAAAAGTGTTCTGGTACTTTCTTTAAGAGCAAAGTGATGGCATTTTGTTTTTGTCATCCCTGTCTGCATAATACTTAATTCCTGTTCAAAATCCGTAGCATCAAGTGAACTGTCGCAAATTGTAAATTTTCTGAAAAAATTCTAGCCTTTGGAATATTCTCCTCCTATAATATTCTCAATCTCTTTTAAGCATACAAAAGGCTTTTTAAGTAACATGACAGTTTACTGTGTGTGTTGATACATATTCTTCTGCTTGTATGTAGCATTGGTAAGTAAACCTCTTACAATGAATCTGAAAAGTGGTGATAAAGAAAATTCTTCTCTGACATTTTATTACATAAATGTGCTTCCTCTGTATTAGCCAAATAGGCAATGAGACATAAATCCTGTTTTAGGCTAAAGTTGTTTGACAAGTCAGGATGAAAAATTTTCTCATATGTGAGCATGCAGACCTGAAGATGGAATAAGCACTTTGAAATGCATTGCAAACTATCAACCACCAACAAATCCTTGGGAAGAAAAAAATATAATGTGTTAAGCATTGAATATTTTGTATATTTAAGCTAAACCTTAAAGAAAGTATGTAAAGAATTTGATATTCTATTTAGATTTTCCCTACTGTCTCTAATTGAGAGAATTGAATATAATTCTGAGTTGCTACTGATGATTTGTAAAATTATGTAAATTGTTTTTCTGTTGTAAATATCCTTTGTGAATAAAAATGACTTCGATTATCAAAACATCATTTGAATCTTTTTATCATAGGTATTTTTAACAAAGTTAATCTACTCTTAACACTCCTTGTTTTTGTTTACAATGTGTAAGTAATGCAATGTTATGATATTGACGGTGAAACTCCCAAGCCACATATTTCGTTTTCAGTGTAATAAAATCTTTCCCCTTTTCTACTTTTTTAAAAGAAAGAAAAATCCACATCATTCCTTAAGGTTATCATAGAATTTATAAGCTCAGAAAAAAAATCATGGCATCTTCTAAGAATAACCATTGATTAGTTTTCCATTTGGACAATAAAGTATGATAGGAAGTGTGCAATGTCACAAACTGGAGACGTGGCTTGGGAACTTGACTATTGACATGTGGGTGAAGGAATTAAAATTTTCTTTTCGTACATTCAAAGTTTCCATTCGCTTGTTTTATTTATGCCAGGTTAACAGTACAAGGGAAATTCAGGTCCCAAATTAAAACTTTTTCCTCAGAGGTATAACCACTGCAAGAGTAGAACAGTATAATTTTGCCAAATTTTCAAAATAGAGATCTTCTTTGGCTACTTTGTAAGAATTAAAAGTTTGCACAATTCATCATTCATGGAAACCTCATTGACTTTGATATTGTGAATGGACGAGATGTAATCAAATTTTTTATAAGTGAAAAGTTGTTCTCCTTCCACAGAATTTTATTTAGAGAAAGATGACAATTGCCTTTTAAAACCTTTCTACTTTGATCAGGATACCATCAATGCAACTTTAGAATCTAATGATCTCAGCTTCTCATCATTTAAAAATTATGAGCGTCCTACCAAGCGTTTTCCCTTTTTCTTCTCCAAAAATGATTTTTCTTTGACTTGCCTTTAGACTAGGCCTAAAACAAAAAACTGTCATTCATTTTTTTTTTAAACAAAATTCGCTGTTGTTAATCCAGTATTTTTGTTGTAAGTTTGACATCTTCTTTTTGAATGAAAAAGTAAGTAGGTACCTTAACATATTAACTGATGCGTTAAAATCGGGAGCTGTGGGGGGGGGGGGAATCGAGTTTTTCTTTTTTTAATATATGAGTCATAAGCCGTTTTCTCAGTACAATACTGAACAATTACAGGTCAATCTAAGTAATTCTTACTAGAAGCTTCGCTAACTAATTACGCACGCCAAGGATAATAGATCCAAGGAGGAAGGTTTGCACCCAAAACGTTGAAAAATTAAAGCAGAAAACACATGCGGAAATCTGAGACACCCGCCATAAACATTTTTCATAGAGAATCAGCCCTTTAGAAATGTGCCTTTTTGTTTTCTCCCCCCTCATTACAACGAGGCAAGTAACCAAAAGTTTTTCTTGAGATTTGCTCAAATTATTCATGAGCATTCTTAGACAATTTCAAGAAGATAAGTACCGTGGTTATAGTTTTCTATTACCTATTAAAATACCTTAAACATTTTAAGTCGGAGATGTTGACATGTTGCAATGGATATAGGTATAATTGCAACCAACCTTGTTAGACCAGGGACCGAATTTTTGTCGGTCCTTCCACCGTACTTAAATATACTTAGAACGGGTCTCGACTGCACTTAAGTCCGGCTAAGCATACTGATTGGCCGGTAGTGCGGTTTGGACTCATTGATGGATGTTACACTCCGTGTGAAAAGAGCCGACTAAATTCGGCCCCAGGTCTCATCACGACCGATTAATATGTAACTGGAGGAACACAAGACTTTAAAACGGACTCAGTAGGATAGGTACTGTAGGTACCTTAGGTCTTGGGTACATCCCAAGACCTCCTCACAATCCGCCCAGGAGATCCTACACGCCCTTGTGCCGCATATCAGCGATTTTATGCCGCACATCTATCGGTAGGTAAATAAGGAAACTCATCGTGATTTCACACGTGTGTAGGTATTTTTTTTTTTTTTTTTTTTTTNNTTTTTTTTTTTTTTTTTTTTTTTTTTTTTTTTTTTTTTTTTTTTTTTTTCCACCCGACCGTCTACGAATCCATGCGGAAAATAACACCGTAGACCATGGCTGTCATGCTACCAAAAGGGAAGCTGTCAATATGTACGCAGTGTAAACAGATATAGACACCTGCCTACTTACAATGTCGAAGGCACGTTTTCCGGACAAAAGAACGTAACTTTTCAGCAACGTGAATGGAATTTTTTTTCAGGAAACAATTGAGGGGCTTGGAAGACAAGGCGCATAATAAGTGCAGTTGAAGTTTCGGAATTACACGGATCCTTATGGCGCGAAAAGAAAGTTCAAAGTGACTTTCAGATGTTTAAAAATTGGAATTTGGGCGAGAATTTTTCACAGAGTACATTTTAAGCCTAGTTTCAGTTGAAATAATTAATGTCTCAATTTTTTCAAAAACTGCACTTATGCGCCTTGCCTTCCAAGCCCCTAATTGAGCGTTATCAACTGGGAATTTCGTCGACTTTTCCTCCCGTGCAATGCAATGTCTGACAAAATGATGCTCCCACCGGGGGCATTTTAAATTTTTCTCTCGAATCTGAGCGACACCTCACTGGCAGCCCAGAAAGGAGCATTTGCGAGTTCACGCATAGCGCCATCGCGCCTTCAATTTTGAAGATGCAACACGGACATCCATTATGTGCGAATAGTTGTATCTCTGCGCCGTCATTAACGCGCCTCCTTTTACTTCGCTCTATTTCCATACTGTGTTTGTTCCGGTTCGTCTTATTTGTATTTTTAGTGGTGCTTTAAAGCCTGTATGAGCAACACAAGGAAAGAAGAGACATAAGTATATGTCACACTGACCACAATGGGACCACATTTTGCAATAAGGAACTACCCTGGTAAAAATGGCAAGTGCTCAGATCAGTAGCACTTGCCTTTGGAACAGACCTAAGCACTGATGTCAGTGCTGCCGGGCGCTGATCTGCTACCTCAGTGTTAGGTCTGTTCCAAAGGCAAGTGCCTCTGATGTAAGTGGCACTGACCTAAGTGTATCAGACGTAAGCGGAGTGGAAACTCCCAGAAATACTGTACAGGCAAAAATTTCGTTAATTACCGATCTGCCAGGTACGTTAAGTCACTATTTGACGATCAGGGAGGGCTGCTGTGAGTTTTCAATCCCAAGCAAGTATCACAATCTTCAGGGGACATCGCTCGTTCCCATGCGGTCTCCAATCTAAGTACTTACTACGCCCGACGTAACTTAACTTCGGTGATCGTCCTAGCGATTGGACCACTACACTACCTGCGCGTGTACGTGTATGGGGCGTAATTTTACCATTTCAGGGCCCCCATTGGGATAATTTTGCCAGCAAATGATGATTTTGTCTTTGAATGTGAATCCGATACTTAATTTTTCTATTATTATTTTTTAATCAATCAACATGTAAATGAAGTTTTGTAAGTTACGTTTCTTTGAAAAAAAAATGGATCGCACTAAAATTCAAAATTAAAGCTAATGATGCAAAAAAAATAATGAAAGTTGAAATTATACAAAAAATATAAATTAGCAGATACAAAAATTGAAAGTAAAGGAGTAAAAAAGTTAGAAAAGAATCTATACTAATAAAGCAGACTTCACGTTGATTGACTCACTCACTGACTCACGTATCAGCGGATCTCGTGAACGGGAGGCCGTGTGACCCTGAGATTCCGCACTGGGATCCCTCTCTACCCCGAGGCGCCGGATAAGGGAGGATTTCGCGATCCGCCCGCCGGTTCGCGGGATATCGCGGTCCGCGCGGGTCGATTTTCCCGTAAGGACAACGGGTGCGAGAGAGAGTGCGAGCGAGATGGAGCGATTTCCGCGTCCCGCGCTGGAAGACAGCTGATAAATTTTACGTGTCTTCTTCTGGTGCGCGCAACGGGTGCGAGGAAGATGGAAGGAGTTCGGCGTCCAACGAGTGCGAGGAAGATGGAACGAGTTCTGCGTCGCGCTGTTGGAAACGCCGCGCCATGATTTTTGCGAGCTCCGACTCGTGCCTCCGTTGCCGGGCTACCCTCTCAGAGATGTGAAAATCTGGAAAATCTGTCTGTTCATTGGCATAGAATAAAGAGACTGACGTAGTCTTTTTATTCTATGGCATTGGTCTCCTCCAACGAACTACACCTCTAGAATGGCTGACCAGTGTTAGAGACCTGGAACGTTTTGAAGTTGATATAGGTTAGGTTTACTTGGGCTCACACAGCAGGCTGCCATCTAAACCCATGTCAGACGCTGCCCACATTTTGCCGATTATTGTTGAATAAAGTGATAGTAATGAAAAGATTGCTGAACAATCGCACCTCAAAAGGTTTTCTTTACTCAAAAAATAGGAACTTTGAAAAACCTCAAAAAAATAAAAGTTTACAAAGGTTGAAATTTTCACATGTAATCCTTATGGGCAAGACGCAGCAGAAATGGAGATTGAGCTTAGCTATACTTGGGCTCCCACCCCCCTCCTGCCTTCAAAAACCGGCCCATGCGCGTTACGCAGGTTTGCTATCTCGCGGCCATTCTAGAGGTGTAGTTCGTTGGTCTCCTCTGCGCACATTGCCGCTTGCTAGATTGAAGGCGTTCTATACTGTGCTGACGGCTCGGTCACACTGCGCCTGTAGTCGCGGTGCTGACAGCGACAGCGGAGCAAACAGAACATCGCTCCGACATTCTTCACCTGCTTGAAATGAAGCGAGAAACTATTTGAACTCCGGAGTGGGTATGTGGTATCATACAAAATTGAAGGAAAATCATACGTTTCCGCCCATCCCAAGCAACAGATGTTTATGAGTTGTATGCGCACATTTACGTAGTCTTAATTGAGTCAGAAATTCGCGTGTATGCCACGATATTGATGTGAATAACTCGCAATTAATTATAATGATCTTAGAAATTCGCTAGGAACACGACGTATTTGCCGTGATATCGTGTAATTTCTAATTTGTTTTACAAAATCCCTGGAAAAATCAAGTTTTCTCCGCGATGTAGATGACAAACCCGCCATTGCTGAGAATTAAACGAAACCGCTGGTTAAATCCCGTAATTTTCGCGGCTGAAACTCACCAGCTAACTTCAATTAAACATTGAACTGACAAAAGTATCAAATCTTTATGAAAATAACCAACTTTTGATTGGGTATTTTTGATTATTACAATTATCATATGAGCTTACTGAAGAACAGACCAAAATAGCAGCATACTACTAATTTCTACTTTTTTATCAAACCAGTGTGTCTCGCCAATTTTGAAATAGTAGACGATAATTCAGAAACACAATTAGTAACTGATCACTAATCACAGTGATTGCTGATGGTGGGGTTTTCCTGTGCGTAGCACGGGTTTCCTGCTAGTTGAAAATAAAGTAGGAAAATTTTAAAAAAAAATTGAGACTGAAACATTTTAAAAACAGTTAAAACTGAAAAAAATTAAAACCAAATTTAAAACTATTTTTTTTTATAAAAAAATAATAATGCTTAAATAAATATATCTAAATACATATTTTAGCGGTGATAATATTTTTATCGATCTCATTTTTTGTTGTGTTTTAATTATTTAAGTGCCATCTTAAACGAAGAGGGTAAAACAAATTATTTAAGAGTGTGGCTACTTAAACTAGTTTTCCTTCCCTCTTAGAAAATCCCACCTTCTACAAAATATGCCTCTCTGAAAGATAAAGTTTGTGGTCCCCGTGTCCCGAGGAAATATTCCCCCACGAAAATGAAATAGGGTGGGGGAAGGGGGAGCCATCTCTACTTTTTGGGAGTGAGTGCGGTTCGATTAAGATTGATGTCAGAGACTTACCCTCTGAACCAAGTCCTGACCTCAGTCCCGCTTACCTCAGAGACATCTCTGCACTTAGGTAAGTCTTTCTCCCGACGTCAGTGCCTCTTACCTCAGTGCTGACTTCTTGGGTAAGTGCTTTAACACTTACGTCAGAGAAAACTGAACTGACCTCAGAGCAAATTGCACTGACCTCAGTGGAAAATTCACTGACCTAACACTTGCCATTTTTACCAGGGTATAATTTCCGCCTCAGTTCAGAAATAACGTATGTGTCACTAGTTTTCCTCAGGTCATATGTGTTTTTACAGATGAGCTAGAAGTTATGGTTCCGAATTGCAAAATGTAGTCCAATGCATCCATCATCAGTTGACCCCTTTATTAAGAACCACCTAAATTTATGTCGAGTGGTGCTATTCTCTGATGTGACATTTTTTTGTTTCTTCCTCACCTCAGTCCTCTCAGTTTTATCAATGAAACGAAGAGGAACTGCGGCAGCACCCACACCCAAAAAGTTTAGTCATGAGAATTGTACCTAACTGACAATGAGTATTGTTTTTATAGTACTGTACGCCTTTACACAATGTCTACCTCCACCCACTTTTTCGTGACTGGACAAACCAAGTTTCAACATTATAGCTATCTGTAACCTGGTCACAGGTTCGCTTTTTAAGGACATACTTCTTCTAAACTGTTATCAAATCACTCTCAGGTTTTTCACCTGATGATTGATTCATCTAATACTTAATTCTAAAGAAAAAAAGACCCAGCGGATCATTTTCAAGGGGACAACCTCGTTTTCAGTCCAATCGGAGAACTCTGGATTTTGACCCTGAAAAGTTAGTTGATGGTGCCCCTGTCAATTTCTCTCGATTTTCGAAGGAGGAAACACATTTTGAGAAAGGAGTCGGATCCTACATAGCTTGCGGCGTAGAGTCGCTTGCACCTGACCCGAGACTCGCCGGAGATTCCAGACGTCCAAACGTTGATGAATACGGATGCTAGGACTTGGTGAGTTTTTTGGACTACCGCTCTCTTCTTGTGCCGTAGTATCTTGATTTATTTTGCGAGGATAGCTCTGTTTTCTTAAGGATTCCAGTCATTCTTGATACGTTGGAGCGCCTTGAATTTCTTATAACACCTCTGTCGCGAGATAGTTGCTTGAAGCGACGTGGCATTCCCCGTCCGTGGCTTACGGGCAATCAGCGCAGCGTTACACCCGCGCTGACGCCTACAAACCTAACAGGGATACTTCACGCATAGCGCAATGCGTGAAGTATCCATGTTAGGTTTGTAGGCGTCAGCGCGCGTCTGCGCAATGCGTGAAGTATCCCTGTTAGGTTTGTAGGCTTCAGCGCGCGTGTCGCGCTGACAGCATGCCGAGCACGCCGCTGAATGACCCTTTAAGTGGGATTTTCTGGTCAGAAAAGCTCCCGAGCCCGGTGAATCGCGCAGGGAGCCTCGGGACCACGCGCAATTGATCCAGCACCTAGGATCTACTACTCGATGGTGAAAGTGCAAACGTGCGGCGTATCTCGATTTTTGACAGTTTTGAGTTAGCTGCATAGACGTGTTGTTGAAGATGTTGTCTATATGCCAGCAAGAGACTATAATCGAAAAAAATCGGGAAGTTACCTAAAACTGTAGAACTTTTTTCGCGTATCTCGGGCTTAAGTGCAGAGGTGCGTGTCTCGTTCTGGCCCCTTCATTTAATTCGGCGCGCCTTACGCACACCGCGCGCTCCTCAGCGTTTCCCACCAACAGCGCATACAACAGCAGATCTGCTGTTCTGTAATTTTATTTATTCTCAGGAATTCGCTGGCTTTTGAAAAGTTGTGAAATGCTTATCACTCGATGGCCCTTCAGTGTCATTTCTTTTTAGGGACCTATTACTAGCGGCGCGCGGCGTTCATGTTCATTATTCACTCGCTGAACCAAAACAATCATGAACTGACGGTTCATCACATCGGTCAGTTGTATCAGAGTCAATCGAGTCATACAATGTTTCAACCGTATTGGATCAACTATAAAGCTTCTAAACCAGTTTGAAGTATGAATAAACTCTTATTTTTCATCTTAATGATCAAGAGCGCACGTTCAAAACGCTAATTGCATAAATGCGTATCTCGTGGTCAAATGACATTTTCCAATCATACAATGCTTTATCCGGTCGTATGAGATCAAACAAAAGCTTCTGATAGGGAATTTTAAGCGTGAAACTCTTTTTTCAGTCTTTAAATGATCCAAATCCGCCAACATTAGTTTTAAAACACTAATTGCAAGAATGCGTATCTCTTGATGAAGTGCCAATTTTTAGTGCGGAAAACGCGAATCTCGGCATTTCTGCCGTATTTTCTAACAGTTCAAGAAATTATTCAGAATGCTGATGGAGTCTGAAAAAGCATATTATTCTTGCTATCCTCCTGATTTATTACCCTTATACTAACAATAAAGAGGAATGTATACAGTTTTTTTTTTACTTTCCAGGAAAATCGTGCTTTTCGAGATACGCACTTCTGCCTCTTTCACCATCGATATAGCGGAGCATAGCGAGTTCATGCCTCGCGCCTTCAATTTTGCAGATGCAGCGCGGACATCCATCAAGCACAAATAGTTGTCTCTTCACAAATGCGCCTTCTTTCTCTTGCTCTGTTTCAATATTGTGTTGGTTCCGTTTGTCTTACTTGTAGTGATGCTATAAAAAGCTCCGTGCGCATACGAGTCGATGAGCTGGAGGGAGAGAAAGGGTTAGAGTCTGATTGAGCACTTGCCGCTCATTTACGCTTAATTCGTTCATCTGCCAATTATGTAGTTAAAACTTGTAAATACTTGTTTGTGGGAATGCTTAAATTTTATGATTTTATATTATGGAAGTATACACTTTATTTGAATTTAAGCGCCCCAAAAGCCGAGGTCGTCATTTTTTTTTTTTTTTTTTTTTTTTTTTTTTTTTTTTTTTTTTACTACTTAAAATAGCCCACAAGGGCTAATCCTTGCACTATAGTCCCGTCCCCTCTGTTCCTACAACCAGTCCCCGACAACCATTGTTTGAGACCATCAAATTTGGGTCGCCTAACTGGGAATCAAACCCGAGACCTCCGGATCATAGAGTATAGCGCTACTGCAACCACTACATCATAGGAGGCCGACACCATATTGCCAAAAAAAGTAGAGAGAGCTGAGCCTCTCTGTACTTGGGCGGACATGCCCCTTATCAAGTTCGTTCAAGAAACTTGAAAAACTTGTATTTTTCAATTCTCACAATCATATTACTGCTAATCAAATTGAAGAGTCGATTGCGCGAAAAACCCAGGTTGAGCATCTACCTGGATTCGCATAATTTATGTCAGACCAAGTGCATATAATAAATACATGAGAATGAGACATGCATTGCAGTTTTCAGAGATGGAGGAGGAACACATGTGCCAATATTTATCGTCTAAAGATTTTCATCTGAACTGACAGAGTACTGATTTATAGTAGCTACGTCATTCTATGTACATCGCCGTCCGATTACCTCAATGTGAACAGTCGCGTAACCTCGTCGTTTTCACGCCCGGGCAGTGGGATGCGTGTAAGTGTTTCTTGTTATCGAAAGTTCTCTTGTGTTTCATAAAATTTCTTATTGATGGTGTTTTCTATATTGTGGATAGAACCATCGAAATCAGTTTTGTAAGAATAGTGGCATAGCCCTCAAGGGTCGTGTTCATAGTCCCTTATTAAACAGCTCCTCTCCTTTTGACGCCCCGCCCCGTATGGTTTACATTCTGATCAAGGGAGGTCCATGGAGATCCTTAACATAGCATCATGAAAAAACCAATTTTTGCCAGCATCGAGTAAAATTGAGCAGTATATCTTTGGAAATGAATCCTCGCAAGGGACTACAATGATTTGCCATTGCAAAAAGTAAAAAAACTCGGAAGAAAAATTCTATGATTGTAACAAACTTTAAGGTAGGCGCGAACCTGCCTTAATATTTACAAGACCATCAATATATTTCATTTCGTATTTTATATTTTTTTGTAGTAGTAGTAACCCTTGTAATTTCTTTCAAGGAATCATTTCCCAAAGAATACTGCTAAATTTTACTCAAGATTAGCATAAATTGTCCCATTTATGATGCTATGTTAAGGATCGCTCCGTCAACCACAATGTGAACCATATCGAGGGTGAAACTACCAGACCGCTTATCTCGTTTGCGGGGTTTAATAATCTCTGCTTTAATTTTACTTTTTTGAAGAAGAACAAATCAATATACCTCGTATTAGGGCTTTCTTCGCACATAGCAGAAAAATCTCGTAAATTTTCAAGAATTGACGTTGAGTCGTTTCCCATTTAAAAAATTTAGTATGACAGGAAGTCCGCAACGTCTCAAACCGAGATACGTGGTCTGGTAGTTTCACCATAATGTGAGGCCTCCCAAAAAAGAAGCTGTTTGAGGAATAACTGTATGAATACGCCCTTAAATCGATCAATGGCTAAGCTAATCCTAGTTGCCGTACCATCTTTGTTCATCTACTTGTTTTGAATGAGCGGCGCTCCTTATTTAATTGGAGTGATGACGCATCAGAGGTGGATCCAGCAATTTGGCAACGCCGGATTCGCTCCGTTTAAACCTATGTTAAATAATCGATTCTTGTCAGAGCACTTGGCCCCTTCAAGGATCGATACATTTCCATAGGTTTAAATGGAGGAAAACTATGTTGCCAATGGATCACTAGACAAGGTACGAATTTAAGCATTCCGGTACATGTTTCTTAACCAAAATTTCACGTAGAACACGATTCGCGCAACGAAAATTACTGAAACCAACTCCTAACGAAGATATTAACCTTTTCATTTCACATTGGTTACGAGGAATTCGAACTGCCCGCTCACAAGAAACTCGAAGCTCTACGTGAGTCAAATCGCGCACGACAACGGTCTCAGCAAGTTTCTTAATCGAGCAATATTCATTTCCCACCATGTGTTGTTCGAACTATAGGCAATTTGCTATAGCTGAGCCGAAGCGTCAAGATTGAGGTTGCCAGATTTTTACATCGCGCAGAGACTGTCATGATAACGTTTAGCGCGCGATGTGAATCACGTAGAGCATTGAGTTTTCATGAGCGAGTGGTTTGAATTCACGCATCAAGAATCATTAAATATCGTTGTGAGGAGTTGATTTCGATAATGTTCATTGTGCGCATCGTGCTCTACGTGAAATTTTGGTTACGGATCATATATCAGAGTGCTGAAATTCGTACCGTGTCTAGTGGTCCATTTGCTGGATCTGCTAATGTGACGCGCTCTCATCCAATAGATGCTTCATTTTTCAGCCTCAATTTTATTCCTGTGATGAGCACGGTACATACTGGATGGAAGAATGCTATCTGCAGTCAGCAGCCGCAGAATCGGATGCCTACATTGCACCGAAAATACCAATCGAATATGCCGAGTGCGCGGAATTGGCTCCAGCAAGGTTGGTACTTCTTAACTGCCGTGTGAAGGCCGTGAGGGTGAATCTGTAGAGGCTACTATTTGCTTTCACCGGGATCAGTTGCGTCAGATTTAAGATTTCTTTGAGATCAGAACATTTAAAATTTGGAACGATTTTTAGGGAGAAAAAATTACTAACAATCGCCGATATTATGGCGGGGATAAGGGAGTTGATGTCAGGATACGAAATATAATTAATCTTGAGAACTTAGTGACTCTGATTCACAGCCCAAAGTCTGTAAGTTGTCTACGACGGAGAGAGGTGGGCCCGGTCCAGGTAAAATTAAGCATCCAACTTAATTAATTAAAACCCTAATATTTTTTATTTTTTTAAAAAAAAAAAAATGCAGCAATTTTTAGATTTTCTTTGGGGGAGGGACGGGTCAAGCCAAACTTAAGTAATTTAAAAAGGGGATGGGGTGTGGGTTTGGCTGACGGGGAGAGAGAGTGTCAAAAAGTCGGCCAAAATGGCTTCCATAATACTCAAACATTCCTTAATGACGATTATATTGGCTCTTAATTATAGTGCTTTCTCTGTCACCCGCAACCGCTGTTTGAAATATGTGCCCTGTGGCCCTGTCTCAGAGCAAAGGCTCACTTCTACATAATATTCCATCATACAAAGCCATTATATGGGATAATTTTAAAAATTTTGTTGGGAGCATCTCATCTACGTGATACACGGTTGAAAAGAATGGTGGACTCCACTGTAGGAGTGTAATAGAGTCCTGGTGATATTCACCATATTGCAGAAAATTTAAATAGCAGCGTGGTATACTTTCGTGCCCAGGAAAAACTCCGTACTACATTGAAGTATTGTCGAATTTCCCCTGACAAATTTTTTGATCTTGAGGAATGTTAGGAGTATTTTGGCTAGAAATTTTGGATAATTCAGTTTAAATTGTGAACAAAATTCTCTAAAAAGTTGGGGGAAATGGAGATATTCACAAGTTTCCTACAAAATTTAAAGTTTATCAAAGAGACTTGGCAAAGTCCACAAACATACTCAGTGTTCTTGCCAGCACGGCAGTATATACACTCTCTCCGAGCTGATTATTGAAATTGACAGCTAGGTAAGCTATGGATGAAAAAGACAACTTGAAAATGGAGCATCCTTTTGGTTGAAAGGGATGGTTCTTACAGACGTTGGGGGAAATTATGGACTTACAAAAGGCCGTTAGTTAGTCTATTACTTAGCTCCTTCGTCTATTGTAGCTAGCCGCTTCAACTGATAGGGTCACTCCATTTTCTCTTTGTCTTCTTTGTCTATTTCTTTATCTATTTCTTTGTCCATTTATTTGTCTATTAAATCAATAGTCAGCCCGCAGGATTCTGATCGCCGAAATTTAAAAACCTATCCGAGCCTACAACCAGATGAACTCATATTGAAATAGACAACATAATTTTTGCCATGCAGAATGACTGGAGGATTTGCCAGAGCAATTTACTAGGTGTAGCCTGACCTACTATTTTCCTAGACCCTTTACAGTGCCAAGGAGAGTATTAAGGTGTCTCCTCCAGAAATTTTAGGAAATTTGACCTCGCTAAAATGTATTCTGAAGCCTTTAACACGCAAAACTTGGCGGTATGCAGGGCCGGATTTACCTACTTGCCGTCCCCTTCTCATTCGTTTTGAACCGAAATAAAAACCATCAAGTGAACGTGCCAGCGGGGGAGGGGTGCATAGGACGAATTTACTCGTTTGAACACATTTTTTGGAAAAGCCTTGTCAACACTACTAGCAAAAGTTCACGGAACTTTGCGCGAAAGTTAAGTTTTGTAAACCTATCTCTGTGTGGACAAGGCCTTCTATTCATAAGAAATGAACGAAAAAATTATGAAAGAACAAACATATACGTGGTTTAATGATTTTAAGTTCCGCCGCCGCGCCGCGCAGACCGCACCGTGTTTGGTGCAATGCGTGAAGTATTCCGATAGTCTTGTAGGCGCTATGCGTTTCACGCCGACCACTGCCGAACGCACTGTGTTGGACGCAATGCGTGGAGTATTCACGCAGTCTTGTAGGCGCTATGCGTTTCACGCTGACCGCAATGGCCGCGCTGTGTTTGATGCAATGTGTGAAGTATTCGTGCTGTCTTGTGGGCGCCAATATGTGTTACATGCCGACCGCCGCGCCGAGGGCTTCTCCTTTTCATCTCAAGTCCTCGTCATCATTTCTCTCTAGGTCGCGCCGTTCCGCCAAATTGCGTGTTTGGTTTCTCTCTTATCTCGACTAATTAAAGGTGCTGTCTCTTGTATCACTGAAAGACGATGAAATTAGAAATTACTATACTCTCAAAATTTCGTCGCCTTCTCTCGTTTGTACTTTATTTTTCTAAATACGATTTTGTTTTATACCTACACTTAAAAAAATTGCAAATTTTTGCCACCCCTTAGATTTGCCACCATGGGCCGCGGCCCATGTGGCCACCCCCTTAATCCAGCCCTGGCGGTATGTATGTTTATAGCCACTGACCGAAATCAGCCAATAATCATAATGACTGGTCATTTCAGCCATTGTCGACTTTGGCTGGTCATATTCATAATTGGCTGACTTCGGTTGTTGGCTCCAACACATACAAACGTGAGATTCAGTAATTCCAACTACCCCTGGAAAAAAAATATCTGAGACTTTTTCCGTTTTTCCATTGCACTACGCAATAAAACGAAGAATTGTACGGGCTTCACAGCTGTATTCATCGTTCGATTTTTTTAGGGAAAGCTACATAATTATTTCAAATTCAAAGGATGCAATATACACTCTGGTCCCTTCATAACTAAGCTTATGAGCATGAGGGCTGCGTAAATGTTTCAGAGAAACATTAAAGTAAGGAAGGTTAATCAATTTGCTGGGTACAAATCTTCAAAAAAGACCTAGGTAAAGCCGCGCAAGGAGAATATCCTCACGGTGTCCTAATATTTCTACAACAACAAATGAAATGTATAAATATCTGCATGAATTTCACGGTAGTTTTATCGAGGGACAAGCAGCAAAGCCCTTGGTGTGTTTCATTTTAAATATTAGCTCAGGTGCAATATGTGGAAAATCTGCCTGTGCAAAATATGTAGTCGGTTTTTGATGTGTGAGTATATCGTCACCTCCCGGTCAAAGTATCACAAGCGCCATGCGACGTTCAAAAATTTTCTCCGCAATTTTATTTTTTTACTGAGAATTGTTCACCGAGGCTGTCCGAAAATTTCACTGAATTTTCTTTGTGCTGCCAATAAAATTCAGTGAAATTTTCAAACAGACTCAACTAACAATTTCTCTGTAAACAAATAAAATGGCGGCGGAAATTTTTTAACGTCGCATGGCGCTTGTGATACTCCAGCCGAAGGGTGACGATATCCCACATTTTGACGCAGATTCGTCAATTTTGATTCTCAATGTCCACAGAGGTTGTTTTTTGCAGGTGCTGCTCACAACTCACACGAGGCGATAATTGTTCAGCTTATAACCTTGATCACTTGGCCACATCGCGGGCACGTCTGCCGTGTAAAAAAAAACCATGATGTAACCAAAATGATTTACGGTATATTTCTATTATATATACCCCCTTTTTATTACCGTAGAACCATTTTGACTGCAGTTCACACCACTAAGCAGGTATGTGTATTGTCTGTGTGAGTATTTTCTTTATCTGAATCAGGTTTTTTTCAGACCAGTTGGATGAAAAGACGCGCAATCATATACTATTAATGCAAACATGCTGCGAAATAATGAAACGGATTTGTTTAGTGTGCCTGTTCTTGAATCCACCGTCGAGATATCATTAACATACGAAATTTTTTCGGTGCCTAATTGTTTGGTAGGCATCATACTTGTATGAGCAGTACTGGATTCCAGTAAGTACACAGCTGCGGGTCGATTTTTGAGTCCTTATTGAACGACCCTAATCGATTAAAAGCATTAGCGAAATAGGGACTTATCGACCGAGTTCAACAATCGATCTGCTGGTACCGGCGGAAAAATAGGTAACGTCTTTTAATATTAGTGGTTACCTCAGCATGTACGATTCCAAGAATGATCTTAATACTCAAATCCCCTGAAGCGTACGTAGGTAAAATGCAGTCACTAAGTTATTGGTATGTAATGCACCGAAATTCTGTCGAAAAATAATTCACGTTGAATCACTAAGACATGAATGAGCAAGGATCAATCAATAGGATGTATTTATGCTAAAAGAAGCAATGTGCATGGGGGTTTCGTGCAATATAGGTCCTTTTAGCATAATAAGTCCAATATGACAAAAATGAGCCGTAAACCCGATTACTTGGAATTAAGATTAAAAGAATGAACCTTACTATTTAGCTATTTTACAAAGTACATCCTGAAAGAAAGAAATTATACTTACTCGGAAGGCTGAGTAACTGTTTTTTTTCTTCTTCGAAAATACCATTTAACTCTCTTCCCAGTGACACCATTCAATCCTAAGTCATCACGATTTTTCATTTTAATAAATCAGTCCCAACATAAATATTTTCACAGTATTGGTAAGATCAACGAATTTTATTTTCATGAAAATACTTACACTTTTAATTTCGTATCTACGAAGACGTAGCCTGTTGCGACTTCAGACTTTCTCCACCGCATTGCGTTTTTATATTTTTATTTTATATTACTTAATTTTTTGTAAGATATTTTTTATTTTCATTTTTTAAATGCCTTAATTTAGAAGTGAAAAATAATTTTTATTTTGCAGTCATGAAAGTGGTGTTGCTGTTGGGGTTTGTGGCCCTTGCCGCGGTGTACATCCAACCGAGCGAGGCATGTGAAGAGTGTAAATCATGTTGGAATTACAAACACTGTGAAATAACCGAGTTTCCCGTAAGTTTTTGTTTTCTTAATGTTAAACATGCTTTCCTTCTAAAATGACTGAAGAACTTAACTCTTATTTTTTGCTTTTTTGCGTTATTCTAATCTGAACTTCAATGACAAAATTTGTTATTAATAACACTTCATGATGGGATTTTCGCACAAGTTGCAAATAGTAAAAACTTAAATGATAAATAATAGCTCTATCCTTCATCTATTCTATGATTCCTTTCTTTCCTTTGATTAGGGCGTAAGTTCTGCTTGCCTAGTCATCACCGCGCCCAAATAAGTTGATGGGTGCATGCGTAAAACCGCTTCAAAATTATTAGTGAAATAGAAGGAAAAAAAATATAAAAAAATTGACTTACAACCTGACAATTCGTCGAGGAAATTAGCTTATTTTTGTGTTTCTTTGTTGCATGCAGCTCTTGCTCTTTTTTAGCTCCCCCTAGCAGCGCACGGTGAGAGAACAGGCTTTACGTCTTGCTAAGGATAGCTGTAGTTTCTGTGTACTCTGGTACCTTTCGAATTCCACATCATTCTGTTTTAAGACCCCAAACGTAGGGACAGATGTGAATATTTCAATAATTTATGAAGATTTCATCGGTAATTCTGTCTTAGTGGATTGTGAGGAGGTGGTTTGCCGTTTCCATCACCAGAGTGACCCTCAACAATTTCTGGGGTAAAGGGAAGTCTTGCGGCATGTTTAGTAAGTATTGATACAAATATCAACAATAGTATTATTAATAAAGTTTGATTTGAACAACACCATATTTAATTTTAGTTTTGAAGTATAACCAATGTGATGTAATGATCGTTTTTATTAATTTACTTAGGACCTTTCAGCATTTTGATCATTACATCACCTTGGTTATACTTCAAAACTAAAATAGTATTACTCATATGCAGGCAACTTGCGTATCAAAGTCAGAGGTTGAGTTCTCATTTAAATATTTTGACAAAAATCACACAAAAAAACAAAACACGGTGAAACATGATAAGGCGGAACGGATGACGAAAAAATCGTGTTTTTCGTCCCCTTCCTTCCTCTCATAAAAATAAATTAAGAAAAAATAGTAAGATAGAAACTCAGGGTTTGATTTCTATGTTTTTGTATCCATACCCATTAATGATATGAGTGAATGCAACATCAATATCAAGAAACTAAATCATTTAGAAACAGGCATAGCAATGCCTACGATACAAAACTTTATTTATTCACTTTTTACATATGGGTGGCTTTAAAACAGTTTTCTCTTTCATTCTAAGTAAATCACATGGAAACGGAACTATTTGCATTAATACATAAGCCCTGAGACCCATAAAAATATGTGCATAACAGGGCTCACGTCATAATGCACATAGTTCCCCTGGTAAAAATTGGCGGTAGAATCTGTGTTCCAAAATACCATAGACCTACGGCCGGCTGTAGGATTTCCAATAGCTTCTATAGCCGTCTACACAATTTCTTATAGCCCTTAATAGCCGATGGCGACTAAGCAACTCACAGCCAGGCGATAAAGTGTATGCTAAACGTCACTAATTACGGATGCTAGGACTTGGTGAGATTTTGGATCACTGCTCTCTTTTTGGGCCGTAGTATCTTGATTTATTTTGCGAGGAAAGCTCCGTACTTTTGATGGATGCCTGCCATTCCTAATATTTCAGAGCGCCTTCAGTTTCGTATGATACTGTGCAATACCTCTGGTGTGAAATAGTTGCTTTAAGCGCAGTGGCACGCTGAGGTGGGCAGCCAGCGCGAAACTCGCAATGGCGCCTACAAACCTAACAGGGATACTTCACGCGTTGCGCAATGCGTGAAGTATCCCTGTTAGGTTCGTAGGCGCCAGTGCGTCGCCGCTCCGTTTTGTGTTAGGCTCTAATATTTAATCTGGCGGAGTCAGCGTTATTCAATTCATGATTTTGAAATGTTTGCAAATCCTGTATGGATTAGGTATTCTCGTTTTAATTGATGAAAAAAAAATATGTATTAAAGGAAAATATAACGTGTGTTTTGTAAATATTAAGGTGGTTCCGTATCAAACTTAATGATTTCCAAAGCACACGAATTGCTACACAATTTCTTATAGCCTTTTATAATCGATGGCGAAAAAGCAACAGCCAGGCGATACAGTGTAAAGCCCGGCAATAGGCACTATAGCCCGGCTGCATAATTTTTTATAGCTTCGTATAGCCCAGCCGTATGATTTTCTCCGCATTCTACAGCCAGCTATATGATTTTCTGTAGCATTCTTTAGCAGGCTATAAGAATTTCTATGGTATTTTGATGCAGCTCTTATCGCCATTTTTTACCAGGGTCTGATTGACGGAAATGCGTCCAATTCAACGTGCTTCTGCTTATTTTTCAGACAAATGTTCGAAGAAGGTTTGCGGCTGTGTTGGATTAGACGTTGGCCGTATCGAAGGGCGGATATTGCAAGGACAGTGGTTCTCCCTCAACAGGAAGTAAGAGCTTCACATATTTTTTCATTGCTCACAATCTCCTTTCTCAAATCAATTTAAAGTTATTCGGATCTGAGTAACTTGAAAAATGTACTTAAAATAACTTATTGTAGACTTTATAGTAAGTTGCCGTGGGCGCATGGGGCAAGAAGAGTACTTACTTTTTTGTAGTTTAAATAAAAGCTAATTTTGAAGAATTGTACCGAATTATTACCTCTAGGAAACATGCGATATGATGGAAACGCAGCAAGATCCGATTGGAAGAATACTGCCATGTTCATTAGCTGTAAAACTAATATAATTCTAGTAAAAACCTCATTCGTATTCTTATTTACTGAAATTTTAGGACTTATAACATATTTCTTATGAAGACGGAATCTAAAAAAAAAGAAGAAACAGAAGAAGAAAAAAACAGAAGAAATATATAGGCGGGGAATAATAAAAATTTGTTTCTTCTCCTTTTCCATCTTTTTCTTCCTATTCTACTTCATTATTTTCTTTCTTTTTTCCTATGCTACCACTTCCCTCTCTTTTTGTCTTTTTCTTCCTCTTCCTCTTCCTCCTCCTACTCGACCTCCCTACTCCCCCTCACCCTCCTCATCCTCCCTCCTCTTCTTCTTTCTCCTCTACTCCTTTCTCCGCGTCTTCATTCCTCTCTGATTGTTTCTCTTCTTTTCCTTCTTTTCTTTCTCTCTTCTCCTACGTCTTCCTTTTCTTTGCCTTCATCCTCCTCCTTTTCGTCTTCTTTTTTATGTTTCTTCTTCTTATCTCTCATTCTCTTCTTGCTCCTCTTCCTCTTTCCACCACTACCTGTACTTCCTTTTCTTCATCTTTTTCTCTTTCTTCCACCTCTTCCTTCTCTTCCTCTTCTTAATATTCCTCTCTCTTCCACCGACGTCTAATGAGTTTCCATCCACATCCGACACATGCTAGGAGTTTTAAGCCATTGCGTCCATGTCTAATTCGAAACTCCCTGTGCAAGTATAAGCGAATTACTTAGTTACATTCAACTAAAGAGAATCTCTGATCTGAAAAACCAGAGCCCCGTGATCAGAACTGTATTCTGATTCAGAATATACAAATAGTTAGGTTAAATGATATTGCTTCAAAATGAGAGGTGAGGGGTATTCTTTTCCACTAATCCTCTCTGTAAAAAATGAACAGTTCTTGATTCCAGAAACATTTTTCCCCACCTTTTTTGGCGTGTGTAGTGAAGAAATGTTTCTGTATTGAATAAATAATTTTTTTCTTTTTCTTTCTGTTCAGGACTCATGTACAGTTTATGCGTCGATACTGGGCCGTTGTTCACGAAAACAATGCTGAGATGACTTTCTTCTTAGCCGCCCGTAAGTAAAAACCGTATGAGAGGCTCACTTCTTAATTAAAGATGGCGCAAGCAGCCCCCAAGAAATTAAAATTGGTTTTGAAATCACTTCGGTCACACTCCCATTTTTTTAAAAAAAAATGAGAAAAAAATCAGTTATGTTCATCGACAATTGGTGTTTTCTAAAAATATTCAAGTATGACTAAAATTTCTGAAATGTATCTAATTCTTTTGAAGAAGCAATTATATAGTCGTTCAACAATCGTTAAAATGTAACCGTTCATCAAATTTGCAAAATTTCTGATCGCAAATTGATTTTTACCATGGAAAATGATTTTTCTGACTGCAAATTTCACCAGTTTTGCCTTTGATTATGCACCAAAATCAGCAAAATCTTCAACAGGTATTTCATAATAATATTCTTATAAAAAATTGGAATAGTTAAATTCAATTTTGCAATTATGGAATGGAGTCATAGCGTTATTTTGCTCAAAAAACTACGGAATGTTACGTTCGCGATTAATTGTCGTCAGGAAAAAAATTTCAGTTACCTACGTTAAAAATATTGTCGCAACGTGCCGATTTTCTCAAAAGATCTGAGCATAATTTAAAGTACTCAAATATTTTCAATTAAAAAGAAAGATTATAAAACATCTATCACGTTCAAAATTGTTATACACTTTATTGCTGCTCAGGAATATCGACGATTTCCGTTTCAATACTCATACAAAATTCAATTACGTGTTTTTTCTTGAGTTAACTGCTTGATATTCTATCGTATTTCAATTGAGCTTGATCAACCTTTACTTCATTTACTCAATCATTTTATGTTATTGCTCGTTGTATTGACGGCTGCTAGTGGGGACAAGTGCCTCATAACGTGTCCTTTTTAAATTTTCATAAACATTCTAACGAAGAGTTGATAAAAAAAATCACAACATTCTCCGTAACTACTTTCAGAGGCCACGTGGAAAGTGCCGGCGATAGTAGTGAAAAGAGTTTTCTGTGATGAATGTGGAAAAGTTAAAAACGTAAAAACGTACGTTGTACCGGACGCAGAAGTGAAAGTGAAAATGGGTAAGTGAAATTTTTTCGACCTTTAAATGATCCTTGCACTCTCTTTCAAATATCTATACTATACGCTCCGGGACCTCCTAAATTTGCATATCTGGTGACGCTTAGTTCCAGCGTTCTACCTGGCCAATTTTCATGATTTTTGCGGCTATCAACAAGCATTTGTTTCTAGATGAGCCCGCTTTATTCGGATTTTGAAAATATAACCCAGGTTTTTATTATATTACGTGGTAAAGTTGCGAATTCTCCCATTTGAACAATGTAAATTTATAATTTTTGTCACAGTTCGTTTGAGCGTTCTATGTTGGGCCGATTTCCATGATTTTTGCGGTTATCGACAGGTGACAGTTCCTAGATGAGCCCGCTATATAATCAAATTTGTTTGGGCCCGGGTTTTTTATATAAGAGTAGACCAGGGAGCTTGGAAAGGGGGCAAAATGGAAAACTGAAAAAAAAAAGTTCGGTAAATCCGAACTAGTTAAGATCATATGGAACCAGGTTTTGTTCGGTACACACAACCGAATTATTCGGTCTGTTCAACCGAATTGTTCGGTTTGTGCGACCGAACCATAATAAATTCTTACAGTTCGGTACAGTGGACCGAACAGTTCGTCGGAGCAGACCGAATAATTCGGTCGTGTGAACCGAGCAAAATCGTGGTTCCACATGGATTGCATTTTGCAAAAAGGAACCACTAGCATTGCAATGATGCTAAGATTGTGCAACTTCATCTGTTGCAATATAATTGCGGAAATCGTGAAAAACTATGAAATTTAGATGGTAATTTTTGTCTTAAATTTACAGTTTTTAGCGAGTAAAATAGAAACTATTAGTGGATAATCGGGTTTTTCCTCCAAGACAAAAGAAGTTGCACAATCTTAGCAACATTGCAATGCTAGTGGTTCCTTTTTGCAAAATGCAATCCATATGATCCTAGCTAGTTCGGATTTACCGAACTTTTTTTTTCAATGAAGTAAGCGGGAAGTGTCGAATAATGGTCTGTTAGTAGGGTAAGTGAATCGAAAGTACGCTCCTTTGCTACAGACTATCAAAAAGCGACGAAACGCTCCGTTCCGTTCTTTTCGCTCCGTTTCAGTCTTAGCGTGAATTTTGAAAAAATGCCCCTTTTTCCATTCGATTCTTATTGATCCAATCGCTCCCGGCCAGATGGAGATTGGACAAATGAGAGTCGGGTATGAAAATCTCTCCATTTTTTTTATCGTTCTTTTATCGACTCGGACCTAAAAGAGCGCGAAGCGCACTCCGGGAGGTTGGACCGCGTAGCGGCCAGGGAGCATAGCCCCCTAATTTATAATGATGCCAACGCTATATCTACAACAAACATTGCAAAGTTTTAGTTGGCTAGGTATTTGGTTAAATACGGCTACAAGTGTTCTTTTGAATGTTTTTGTGATTTTTCTCGTGAATCGACGGTTTTTTAAAACACGTTTTTCGAAATGTTCTGTGTATAACATGCGATGAATAAATCACCAAAAAGTCATTTGCCAGATAAATCTTTACAACGTTGACGTGCATTTAAGTCCTTGCGCCTCTTTACAGTGGCGATTCCTGAAAGTCGACAACTTTCTCTCCTCCGTTGAAATCCTCGTAAAGCAATCGATTTCAGGTGAGGCAGTCTGTCTCTCCCAGAATCGATATTTATAGTGTATGCACATAAATGGAGGAAAAACTTTGTTGCCAAATTCATCCTTTTCGGCCATACATTGGGCACTTAATGTGCACTCTCAACCAGAAATGACATGGAAAATGCTTACAAGCCCACGTTAAATAACCAGTGGCGCGGAGTACTTTTCGATGGATCGATTGATATGCCATTTAAACCTGTCGTAAAGGATACATTATCCGAGCGCTCGCAACAAACATCTTGATAATCGATTCTTTGCCACAGCTTTAACATGGAAATGATAGTCATCGATTCACGCTTCGCCACGGTTTATGACCTGCATAACACCATTGGCGGATCCAAAAACTTGGCAATACCGGATCTCCTCAATTTAAACCTATGGAAATGTATCGATTCTTGGATAGGCCAGGTGCTCCGATAAGAATCGATTACTTAGCATAGGTTTCAATCGAGGAAATCCTGTGTTCTCAAATTTCTGAATCCGCCTCTGCATAGCACTCGGGGGTATTGAGAGAATACTTTCTCAAATGCCGACTGTGCGTTAATCTTGAGTCATCATAACGAGAGGAATCGATTGATGTTTTTCCCCTCACCGCCTTACACCGAGAAGAAAGATTGGTAGAATTTACCATCCCTTCATGCTGTATTTTACACAGCGTGAATTCAAAGTCGATTCTGCCAGAGGAATGGTTACCTGTGCCAGTATACATATAAGGTTTACCTTTTGTCTGGCAGAATTGATTCTGAATTAACGCTGTGTGAAATACAGCGTGAAGGAATGGCAAATTCCACCAATCTTCTCTCTCGGTGTAAAACGTTCTAACAGCACTTTTGCATACTTCATTTGATATCCTCTGTGTTCCAGTGTCCGTCGAGGTTAGAGCTATCATACTTGTCATGAAGATAAAGTTTAGGATATTGCTGCTGTGTAATGGCCTCAAAGGAATTGTCAGTAAGTAGAAAAATTTCATTATTTTTGTGCATAAAATGGACTTATTTCTATCAAACTGACCTAAGCGCCATAGAGTGAGGAAGGTAGAGGGGGGCTTGGATTGGCGGCGGAATCGGACCGGCTTATTCCGTCCTATACTCGCAATGCTTTTCCATGGCGCTTAGGTCCGTTTGACAGAACATGCTATCCGGGACTCTAAATTCCTCAAAAGGAACTCAAATTGGCGCTTAGTTCCGTTTGATAGAAATACGTCCAAATAATACTCACCATGGAAAAATCTAGCCAAAAAGTTATCGTTTGTTACAAAAAGTTATTATTAGCCGGTGATTTTTGGCATTTTTGCTATCGTCAGAGTAAAGCGTCCGAAACAACACTAAAAAAGTCAATTTTTAAATTGTAACACATTAGCCGTATTAGGGGAAAAAATGCATCTGATCCTACGATCTGATTTTGATTTTTCAAATACTTACCAGGGTGCTTGAAAGTTCATTTTTGCGAACTACACATGAGGAAGGATTGCACAACAGGATCACATGATCAGATGTCCGAGGGGAGGATGGGAGAAGGTTGTTAAAATATACAGTATTTAGGACACCAAATTCAATAAGTCACGTCCACCAGTTTACTATAAAGATGCAGAAAATTAGCTAATTAGCATAATATTTCTTGCTTGTTTCTGTCAATGTCAATGAAAACATTTTTGCTTGAGTTATTATTTTGACTTAAAGCGTCGTCTCTCATCTACCAAATTTGTTTTGTTTTAGTTAAATCCGTGCGGATTGAACGTAAAGACAGTTTTTCTGAGTTAAAGAAACGTTGTTTTGCTATCGTTTTTTTCAACTTAAACAAAATGATGACAAATGAACGTTACTCTAACTAAAAAGAAACTGACTTTAAGGTTAAAATCGGACGAATTCAACCCAAAAAAACCTTTGTCGACGAGGATTGGCGCTTTGAGTCAAAATAATATCTCAATGAATCTTTTTTCAGTGTTATACAGCGTGAAGCTAATAATCCACGATTTGAAATGTATCTCATTAAAGTTCTTTTATACATTTCTGAGATTTGATAAAATATTTCTCGTGAAATTTCACGATATTATTTTATATGAGAAATTTTTCAGTGTCATACAGCGTAAGATGATAATCCACGATTTGAGATGTACCTCATCAAAGCTCTTTTATACATTTCTGAGATTTCATGAAATATTTCTTGTGAAATTTCGCGATTTGATGTTACATGAGATTTCTCCGCTCCCTGAATAACTCTATTTTGTCGAGTGAGCTAAATACGACGTGTTTTCCATGGCAGGCAACAAGCCGTTCGTTCTTGTGTTGACCACGATGCCGTTCCCGAGTAAGGGCGAGACGTGGAAAGAAGTAAACAACGCTCTGTACCACTTCAACATCGACCCGCACAAAATGAAGTTCCTGAGACACGAATTCTGCATCTACCCGCCCTTCGATTGGTGCAACTCCTGGGTCGCGCCTAAAAACAACGACTGCAACATTTGCAAAATGCCGTAGTAGTCACTTTTGCCGGCGTCACTTTGATACGTCCCACAACTGCCGTCAAAAATATTGGTCCTCCCAAATTATGGAGGAAAACGACACTAAAAAATAAAACACCGGCGAGGGAAGTCGTACTTACGGGCTATACAGACATACCGTCGGCGTTCCGGGCTTAGAGGCCGGAATTTCCGGGCGTAGCACCCGGAGCAATCGAAGTTACGGCTCCAGCACCCGGAACTTTTGACGTCTAAGCCCGGAACGGACGGTATGTCTACGCAGCCCGTAACTTTGTTTTCAGTTTTCAGTGGCCCAAAATTTGAACGAACACTTTAAACTCTCTGATAATCTACAAATTTTCTTAGTTCTTTTTCTTCAACAAATATAAATATATATTATTTTTCTCATCGGTAATGTTTTGGTTTTAAGCCGTGCAGAAATGGAACTTAGAGAACTTAACGTTCCTGAAATTATTACAATGTGTAAAATGAAATAAATAAACGTATGTGACAGAAAAATGTGGGGCTTCTTTTTCAAGTCTTTAGTTTAAAAACGTATTCTCCCGTGGTTTATCAAATTGAATACGACGAAGTGTCATGCCAACGTTTTACAGCAAAACCAAGTCTACAAGATTAGATTATTTTAGTATATGTACAATGTGGCCTCTAACTGCCACGTCGCGTCGGCACAGCGTATTATATTATTGTCTGTAATTTGCAATTTCCACTAACGGTGTTAAGTACTGCAAATTAAGATATTTTGTTCATTACTTCACAATTGTACCCATTCGTCAACCTGTGGTGTAGTGGTTAAGCAAAGCTCCTCTCTTTTTTCGAGAGAGGCCCAGCTCAGGATTGGTGTATAAGGGCTCACCACTACTACCTACTCGGCATATCGTCATGTTGAACAGAATCAACAATCTTGTCATTTTTATACTTTTCTAGTATTGTATGTTGGAATTTTTTCCAACAATACATGTTTTTTTTAAAAAAAATCCAACATTCTGTCTTACGACCCGTGCGTCTACCGCAATCAGATTGTGTCTTCTTTTCTTATTTGTCCAAACTCATACAATATATTTTTAAGACTTTCAGCTTTACCCGTTCGCCGGGCCGTATTTCCATAAAGATGCATTTTAAGCCAACAATTTTGACACCTGAACATGGCAAATTGGGCCGCGTTTAGCAGAGAGGAGCCAAGCCACATCAGCTATTGTCAAATTTAATTGGGCAGTTTAATCATTAATATGAAAACGGTTGTGCGGATTTTTGTGCAAATTTCAATAAGTTTTATGCATGGTACGTAGAAAATTCCTTGAAATTTTCAAAGGTATCCACACAAACGTTCTCCTATAAAAGATTAAATTGCCCAGTTAAAGAGCCGTATGCAAAAACGACATTTTTCGCCCCCCCACTAAAACTTATTCAAACTTCGTCTATCAGTTACTAATACTAGAGCGCTTCTTTCCCCAAATTTTCAGACCCCCAAAAAATTTTGGGGGGGCGCTAGGGGGGGTGGAAGTCAAAACCTGTGACCCTCGATATCTTTCGAACGAAACAAGATATTGAGGCCCGGTTTGGACGAAAAATCGTCTAAAATTGCATACTTTAAGATTCTAAAGGTCAAAATTCCAAAATTAAATTTTTAACTTAACTTATGTGCTTTTTTCAGTTTTTGAGGAAAAACAATTTCTTTTAAACAGATTAAACTGAAATTTCACATTTTTTGATTTGAACCAAAACCAGTTTTTTAAATTGTTCGTCTTTTTCCGCATCCAACGAGTGGTCGTGTAAGCTGGGGAACCGAACGGTTCCGGAGTTATGATCGATTGAAGTTTCCACTCAACGCGCGCCGACCGATTTTCGCGCGCAAAAAAGTCGGATTTGACTGTTATTAAACCAGATTTAATGTTCAAACTGAGCAAAATGCATTATTAGGGACTCTTGAGGGTCGCTGAGTCCAGAAATTACAGATACTTCCAAAAAATTCACGTTTTTAAAATTACAGCTCCGTAGTGCTATTTTAGAGGCCCACTGAGCGCCGACCGGCCGCTCAGTGGTCCTGTAGGGAGCTGTAATTTTAAAAACGTGAATTTTTTGGAAGTATCTGTAATTTCTGGACTCAGCGACCCTCAAGAGTCCCTAATAATGCATTTTGCTCAGTTTGAACATTAAATCTGGTTTAATAACAGTCAAATCCGACTTTTTTGCGCGCGAAAATCGGTCGGCGCGCGTTGAGCGGAAACTTCAATCGATCATAACTCCGGAACCGTTCGGTTCCCCAGCTTACACGACCACTCGTTGGATGCGGAAAAAGACGAACAATTTAAAAAACTGGTTTTGGTTCAAATCAAAAAATGTGAAATTTCAGTTTAATCTGTTTAAAAGAAATTGTTTTTCCTCAAAAACTGAAAAAAGCACATAAGTTAAGTTAAAAATTTAATTTTGGAATTTTGACCTTTAGAATCTTAAAGTATGCAATTTTAGACGATTTTTCGTCCAAACCGGGCCTCAATATCTTGTTTCGTTCGAAAGATATCGAGGGTCACAGGTTTTGACTTCCACCCCCCCTAGCGCCCCCCCAAAATTTTTTGGGGGTCTGAAAATTTGGGGAAAGAAGCGCTCTAGTATTAGTAACTGATAGACGAAGTTTGAATAAGTTTTAGTGGGGGGGCGAAAAATGTCGTTTTTGCATACGGTTCTTTGGCATTAGCTAAGGTGGCTTGGTTCTTTTCTGCTAAACGCGGTCCAATTACAAATGCAGTTTTCATCTGCTTACCAAAAAAAAAAAGCGTGACTTGCAAAAGGAACGTAGGAAGCGTGCTTGTGATTGAAATATCGGACGGATGGTCATGATGAATGCTTGAGGGATATTTGTGCTGCATGCACGAAAAATTGAAGGCGCTTCAGCTGCGATCCTCCTGTAAAAATACCCGCGCGCATAGCGCGTTCAGCCGTCATTACTCCACCATTCTGTTCATTTTCTTATTCTCTACCACCTTGTTTTTTTAAAGGTTTGTAGGAATTTTGTGCTGAAATGTACCGTAAAGAAGAACTTCCGTTTCCATCATTCAAAGAGTGTAAACTTAAAATTAAAGTGGAGTAGGGGATAGCGCTTTTGTAGAAATGCAGCCCACCAACTTTCGAAAACTAGTCTTTTCCATATTATAAATTTTGTTTCGAATAGTCTTATAGAGGGAAATTTTTTTCATTCCACTTGCTTGGAAGGGAGGGGGTGTGTAGGGGAGGGATGTTGAAATCTTTTTGATACATTGCATGTAGGTTGTCAAAACCTGTCAGAGAGTAAATGTACTAGCATCGTTCCTAACTTTACTGAAGAAAAAACCATTTTCCTCATAGACCCCTTTACCCCCACACATTTGGACCCTATACACGCCGAACAAAAAAAATAAATAAAAATGATGTATATAGAAAAATTAATAAAAAAAATGAAAAAGTAAATAAATACACAGGGGCTGTACAGGTATGCCGTCCTTTTCCGGTTCAAAGGTTTTCCTTATCCTCTAAGGATATCCCTACGAGGAATCTTACAACACCGCTCCCAAGGCGCTGCTACCCTGTGATTCAGCAAATAAAATATCAATTGTAACTTTTGGACGGCAACAGCTAGAAAGTCGTTGCGTTTTATAGACGCTAGGTTTGTGTCTCCCCTCATAACTGCAGCACGTATCATTGGAGATTAAATTTTTATCGCTCCGGGTTATTAAATGACCCTTCCACCTCAAGGATATTTGAAGTGAAGTGGAAGAGGGCTAACAGGGGCAGTATTAATGATGAAATAGGCCAGGACCCATGACCATTGCCTCTTACATAAACGCTTCCTTAAAAGACCCTCCAAATGGACAAAGTGTAGTTAGGGCAGGTTTTAAATATCTCTTTCTTCTCCCCCTCTTTTTTCCTCTCTACATTTCTTTACTGTCACAAGCCAAGGGTCAATTTAGATATTTTGACAGGAGAGTGCGCAAATTGTCACTTATTTTTCCCCGCACGAAAGTTCCAGGTCTTTCTCTGATTTTCTACAACATGATCAATTTTTGAACATGCAGCTATTTTGACTCCAGAGTAGATTTCTGACCTATCAACCAAAAATGAAGATAAATTTCGCTCGGCACACTCTTTAAAACCTTTAATATTTCAATGAGTGCAATTAAAATTTGCTAAATGATAGGGGTATCGATAAAGGTAGATTTTGGCCCTACTTCAAAAAATCATCTGAACCCAAATTTTTAAGTGCATTCTGGCGTAAATGCTTTTGTGGTTCTGCGACTTTTTCTGGCCAAAACAGCCGACTCAATTTTTCGGCTGAAAAAGGGTTTTAATTTTATTACGAGCCGAAAAAAAACTGGTTTTTTCAAGCGGTTTGCAATCTGAAAGCGCATAAATTCCTCTAAGCTCAAAGCGGGTGTCTAAATTCATTTAGGCTTTAACAGCCTATCCTATGATAATATTTCATAGGTACTGGTTCTTTCGGCTCAATTTCGCCGAATAGAATTCTTCATCATTGAAGTCATGTTTGAGTTGACTATTTTGATTAATTATCACGTTTGGAATATTTAGGCTCAGCTGTGGAAAATTTTGATTGACTTGCGCTTTAATTTAAATTATAAAGCGCAAATTGAGTTATAGAAAGTTACTTTGTGTATTTAATGTATCGTGTCCAGTGTAAATGCTATTTGAGGGGCTTGGAGGAAAAGGCGCAAAAGTGCAGCTTTTGTTCATTCGAGAACTGCAGGATCCTTAGTTGCCAGGGGGCTGGCCCCCGGCTTAGGCTCCTTAGTTGCCAGGGGGCTGGCCCCCGGCTTTGGCTTCTTAGGGGTCAGAGGGCTGGCCCCCGGCTTAGGCTCCTTAGTTGCCAGGGGGCTGGCCCCCGGCTTAGGCTCCTTAGTTGCCAGGGGGCTCGCCCCCGGGTTATTCTCCTTAATTCGTACCCCGTTGCCTGAAGTCAATGATTCGCCTTCAAATGGCCGGGTATGCAAAATTACTGCCGTGACGCACGAGTAGTGGTATCAGAATTTTGCATTTAGTTTACGGATTGATTTGAAGGCGCTCCTCTGTATCCATTGTGAGTGGCCTTGCGCAACGATGTTGACCAAAAAGTTCTTAATGTTGGGTTTTAAATCGAGCCGCATATTCATAAAATGCCGAGTAATATTAATTTGAAAAAATAATAAGACTGTTTTTGGTCTCTACGTCTTATTTTAAAGAAGAGAGCGCAGGCGGATGGATCAGAATATGTATTTTAAGTCCCTTGGTTCGGTCATCGTATTCTGAAGCGAAACTGATAGAGTCGCTTTTTACAAGATCGCAACTTTCTCAAAAGCGGTTGTGAATTTAAACTGTTTCGCACGGATAAAATGAGCTTTCGTTGATTGACTGTGAATAATCAAAATTGAAGAAAAGGTACTTTGTCCAATGGTCCATTAAAAAATCGTAAAGCATGGATGGATGGAGCATCGATGACCAACAAAATCTAGTCTGATGAGGAATTTTAA